TCCCGTTGGGTGGTTCTTGAGGGAGAGGATGCTCTGAAGGTGTTCTGCTGTGTGGAAGAGGTCCTGGGAGTGTCTTGTTGGGTAGATGAGGTTCTGGGGGTGTCCCGTTGGGTGGTTCGGGGAGGAGAGGAGGCCCGGGGTGTATTAAGCTGTGTGGAAGCCTGGAGGGTGGCACTTCGAGGTCCGCTCTGTGGTGTCATGGGAGAGGCCTGGGTTAGTGCTGACTGATGCCGCTCCAGGGAGAAGTACCTGCTTTCTCCCCGGAGCTTCGCCCAGCGCTGTCCAGTGCTTCGGCTCCCACCACTGGTGCCTAGAGAGGAAAGAGGCAGGTTCAAGGTTAGGGGAGAGGTCCAAGCAGCTCCCACAGCCTTCCCTTCTTTGTCTCCTGAGATGGATGACTGGGGTAGACCCCACACTGTTTTCTTAGAGGACCCACTGTCCCTACCACACAACTCCACCCCTCTGACCAGAGCAGACTGGAGGAGGTCTTGGATGCCGCTTTCAAGCTGAGGTCATTAATTTGAAATTGAAACTCAGGCTGACCCAGTCAATGGTGGGTGGGCTCCAGAGCCAAGGTCGCAAAGTCGGGGGAGTCCCTGAAAAGAAGCAAACTGGTAGACAGCAGTTTTGACACTAGCCTGTGTGGCGGCAGAGAGGGAGAGGAGGCTCCAACAGCTACTGCCTAGCAAGTTTCCATTCCCCATTCTACTTCCTGCAACTGGATTCCGAGATATTCTCCCATCTCTTCTAGTGAGATTCATGTGCGAGAGCTCTAAAAAGTTCCTTTTGTGAACAGGCAGCATCAGCCTCACCTGGGGATTTGCTAGAAATACAGACTCTCAGGGCCCATCCTGGCGCACTGCATCAGAATCTGCATTTTAGTAAGATTCCCAGGTGATTTGCATGCACATTATAGTTTCAGAAGCCCTAATCTAAAGGATTCATGTCACTTCTCTAAACAGTGACCCCCTCACAACTCCCATATCCATGAAGGGGACACCACAATCTTGGTGTCACTCTGAACCCCCCTCAGTCCCTTGGTCACCAAGCAGGTAGTGGCCACCAGCTGTGTGTGTCCCTGGGCTGGTGCTTTAGGAGAGAAGTAAAGGGTATTGTGGCCTCTCCTTGAAGGAGCCACAACTGCTTTCCTGCCATCCCTCTTCTACTTTGAGACCTCCGCCTCCTCTAAACTCTCTGAGCTGGTGTCACTGAAGTCTGAGTTGCCACACAGCAAGGAACTGGAACCACGCACAGAGCAGAACTTAACACGTGCACCATGGTTGTCTGGTGAACTGATGCCCCACGATGTTCCAAATCTGCCTGCTTCTCTTATCCACCTCCTCCCACCTCCCTGCTCTCAGCCATCCTCCTTTCTCACTTGGATGGTTGCAAAAGCCCCCCACATGTGCACTCTGGGCACAAGGTCCTCGTCCCGTTCAGGGAGATCCTTTCCAAAAACAAACCTGGCTAGATTACGCCTGCTTACAAGGAGAGACTGTGAGCTATCTCAGGTGGGGGAAAACTGAAAAGATGTGACTGCATGCAAAGTGCAATCCTAACGTTCATTTCTTAATTTTGATAATTGTGCTATGGTTATGTAAGATGCCAACACTGGGGGAACCCAGGTGAGGGGCATAATGGAGACTCTCTGTATTATCTTGGCAACTCTTCTATAAAACTAAAGTAATTTCAAAATCAAAGACTGAAAAAACTTCAGGGGCTTGCAACTGCACCTGGGATAAAACCAATTCAGGCATTTCCCATGGCTGGCAAGGCTCTGCCCGCTGCCACCAGCCTCCCAGCTCCCTGGGGGGAGGGGCCGGGCCTTCTTGTTTTCCACGGTGTTGCATGGGCTTAGAAATGTGTTTAGCACACCATAGGTGGCCAATAATACTGGGCCACCGCCTTCCAGCTCTGAGTTCTGCCTTATCCTGGAGCTTTCGGGCCCTTTGAGCATGGGTGCTGGCTGAGATGGCGTTTGCCGCCACTCTAGTGGCTCACAGCAGGGTCAGCACCACTGTCCCCGGTTTCTTCCCTTTCCCACCCATGACAAGCATCCTTTTGAGCTCAGCCCACCCAGGATCTGACTCCACTCCTGCAGCGCCCTAAGTGGACACACAGAGCAAGCTCTACCGATGTTCTAGGACATCTGTGTTTTGTCCCTCCGCCAGCCGGGCTCTGCCCAGCCTACCCCACTGAGAGTGCTTTGCAGACTGGGAGGTGGCCCAAGAGGGATGGCAAGGAGAAGCAGGTTTGGAAGGAGGGTCAGGTTGCTGGTGACTCCTCATGCCAGCTTCCTCTCCAACCCTGTCCCCAACTCCACATGCTCCCATCACCCCACTTTCCTTCTCTCCTTGAACCTACCACCTCTGCCCACTCCTTAAGGCCTCTGCATTGACTGTTCCTTCTGCTTCTCAACTCAGATCTCAGCTACAATGTCACCTGCCCAGAGAGGCCATCCCTGTCCACTTACTCTCACAGCCTCCTGTCTTAACTGGTCTAGCTTTCCATGTGTGTTCTGTCTGCCTTCCCTCCACTGGATTGCCAGCTCCGTAAGGGTGGGTCTTGTCTGTCTGTTTCTGCAGCACTAAGACAGGGTCTGGCCCATAGCAGGTGCTCAGTGAATACTTACCGACTGTGATAAATGAGCTACAAGGATACATTCTTCAGCACAGGGAATATGGCCAATATTGTATAATTTTAAATGGAGTATAATGTGTAAAAATTTGGAATCAGCTGTGTTGTCCACCTGAACTGAATATAATGTCGTAAATCAATGATACCTCAATTAAAAAATATATAAATGAATAAATAAACACTTATCGAAGGAGTAAAATAAAGAGCACTGTGTTGAGCTTGGGCTGCTGTCATACACCCAGTGGAGAGGGTGTTGTGCAGATGAACTAGAGTTCAGGGGAGAAATTAAGATTAGAGGCATGGACTTGGGAGATAACGGGTCTTTCCAGACAATATTCAAAGCTGAAGTGGCTGAGTAAGCGGGGAGAGAACAGAAGGGGGCCCAGTGTTGGACTCTGGGGAGTCTGATATCTGAAGGTTGAGCAGAGGAGGAGGCATCAGCAGAGCAGAGTGAGAAGGAACAGCCAGTGAAGAAGGCCCTGACCCTTGGCTGGGCGCCCCCAGCCTCGATCTCTTCCCGGGCTCTCAGATCCAGCACAGTCAGCACCGCTTGCACTCTCTCCCCAGTTCTCCGCTGTCCCTAGTCCCATCAGATCTACGTCCTCAGTGTCTCTCCTCGCCCCCTCCTCATCCTGCAGCCGCAGCCCTAATTCAGGTTTCTCCGTCTCTCATCTGGACAGTTGCAATGTGCTACAGAAGGACAGCAGGAGCGGGTCACGCATACATCCATCCTTCAGCCAGTCACCAGCTGTTAACGGTTTGCCTCATTTGCTTGATCAACCCACCTACCTACCTACCTACATATCATCTGTCTGTCTAGCTCTATCTACCTTGTTGAAGACATCATGACACTTCACCCCTAAGCCTTCCATATGTACCTCCTAAGATCGAGGACAGTCTCCTCCCATTATCACACTCAGGAAATACATCATGGATACCATACAGTTATCTACACACAGCTTGAATTCAAATAGCCCCTGCTGTCCCGATAATACCTTTCCTAGCTCTGTCCTTTCCTCTCCCAGATCCAAGCCCAGATACATAGGACATTTCACTTCCCTGTCTCTGTCATCTCCTTTATTCAAGAACAGCTCCTCAGCCCTTTTTGTCTTTCCTGCAGAGTTCTGTCAGTTATTTTGCAGAACGTCCCTCAGTTTGGGTTTGTCTGATGTGCTGCTGGGATTAGACGCAGGGGATGGATTTTTAGCAGCGAGACTCGGAGAGGATGCCATGTCCTCACACTGCGCATTACATGGGAGCACCTGGTACCGGTTTGCCCCTCGCTGGGACGCTGAGCTGCCACTGGGTTAAGGTGGTGTCTGCCAGATCTTCCCATCCTAAGGTTGCCTTTTCCCTCTGTAATCGATGTGTAATCTGAGGGGTGATACTTTGAGACTGTGTGAATATCCTGTTCCCCGACAACCTTTCACTAGGAATTTAGCATCAGCAGGTGATTTGTGCCCGAACCAGTTATCATTCCAGAGGTCACAACAGTCTCTTTAACTGGTTTCTCATCCCTCAGCTTTGCCCTGCTCCAATTCATCCCTCACACCCTTGCCCTAGTGAAATTCTTAACGTGCAGGACCAGTTACATCACTCCCATCCTCAAAAACCTTCTGTGGCCCCCTACTACTTACAGAAGAGAGTCCAAACTCCTTGGCTAGACTCTTGAGGCTCCGCAGGGTCTGGTCCAGCTGTACACTCCCATCTATGCTAAAGCTGTGTGTACCAGGATGCTCCGTTTTTACACCTCCAAGCCTTTACCCAGCTGTTTCCTCAGCTAGAGTGCCACGTCCAGAAGGCATTCCTCTATGAGTCCTTCCCTGACTGGAATGAAGCTCTTCCTCTGCCCCTGCCCCTGCCCCCACCCCAGCCGGGCTCACAGCCCCACACAGCTGTTTCTGCTCTTCCTCTGTCCTGGGCTGCTGTTCGTCACCTCCCAACTGTTTGCTTTACTAGATGATGAGCTTTCCAGAGCAGCAACCACGTCGAACTCCTCCTGAACACCCACAGTGTCTAGCATCAGGGTTTTCACATGGTTAGCGCTTGCATGTTTGCTGATTGAACAGTAAGGAGCTGTGGGAAGCCAGGACTGTCCCCCAGTAGTTAGGACATGATGCCCTGGCCCCATAGCCCCAAATGCTGATGATGTTGAAGACACAGACCAGGAGGCAACACAGTGCAGTAGTGATGGAGGGCCCAGCACCCTGGGTTCACATGACAGCAAGACGCTGACCAGTGTCATAGGCATCTATGGGCTTGGCCCGACCAGCAGCCTTTGCCTTTCTCTGCGAACATCACCCTGATTTCCTTTGGGCCATCTCCTCTCCTCCACTCTCAGACCATGACGTTTGCACAGGGAGCTGATCCCATCCCAGATCACCAGGTTGGGCATATGACCCATGCTGGGTCCCAGGGAAAACCCTTCCCAGGACTTTGGCTACATCTATAGGGAAAATTGTGCCCTCTTACTGTGGGGGTTGAAAATTAGGTAAGATAAGCCTGCTGCTGCTTATCATGCCACTATCGGGGGAGGATCTGGCTGACAATGAAGCCAACACAAAAAAGCAGAGCAGAGACCAGATTTCTGATGCTGTTTGAACACCTGGATCCAGCCATGCCTGAAGTCATATTCCCTGAGACTTTTACTCAGCTGGTTTCTGTCATTTGCAACCTGAAGATCCTAACCCACCAGTTGTGAGATGATGTATTTAAAGCAGATTTCCTGGCACATTATAGCTGCTCCATAGTTATATGGGAACTGTTACTATTATTAAGACTCAAGCTGCCAAAATAAGATGTCTCAAGGGGCCCACATGGCCCACAGCTATCTAGTTCCCAGGCCCCCGGACATCCCCACACCTGTGGTCACAGGGACCAAACTGGCCTGGCTGAAGGTACTCACCCTCCTTTCTCTGGCCTGCAGCATCTCCTCCCACAGGGGACCGGGTGAGGAGAGGAGCCCTTCGGGTGCTGTCAGCTCTTGGCCCCTCCTGCGGCTTCCTTGGGATCATCACGGCGAATTTGTCCCCACTGGGGGCCTCCTCCGGCCTCTCAACAGTGTCCCAGTCCTGCCAGGGAAGGGGAAGAGAAAGTGTGTTTGGAGAATAAAAAGAAAGAGCCCAGATCCTGCACTCCCAGCGTGAGATGGGTAGAAGGAAGGAAAAGGAACTGACGTGGAGAGACCACGACTTTGCTGGGCTCTTTTTTAGTGAATCTTCAATCAACCCTGTGAGGTAGGCACGTTCATTGGAGCTAAGAACTTGCCCAAAATCACACAGCTGGGAAATGGTTTCTATGGAAGGGGACTTGAACCCAGGGCAGTTGGACTCCGTATGGTAGGAGGGCCTTGGCATAGCAGCCCCCACCCCAGAGACACCCCCAGGACCCAGAGAAGAATAGGTGGGTTCAAAGTCCAGCTCTACCACTTCCCGGATGTGAGGCCTCAAGTAAGTCACTTCCCTTCTCTGAGCCTCAGACTTCTGGCCCCTAAACCATGGACGTCTCTACCTCAGACAGGGGGTGGGGGGACTTCCCAAGACAAGGACCACCTGGCTGGGTTGTTTTCCTTTGAAACTTACCACTCCCCCTTGGGGCCCCATGGATAGCCTGTCTCTTCTGCCCCATGACAGCCCTTTGAGGGGTGAATGCACCAGAAAGTTCCCCTGCATCTCTTCTTCTCCCAGTTAAATTGCCCCCAGCCCTTGTCAGGCCCCCCAGTCTGCTCCCTTTCCTCTGTCCCTGGAGATCTATGCCAGGGCTGGTCACGCGGCTCAGCGGTGTGTGACCTGGGCAGGGCCTAGGGACAGTCCCATCCTTGCTCTGGATGCCACACCCACCATCCCCGCCCTCTGTGAACTGACACTTGTTGGCAGCCTGAGCCCGCTGGTGACTCACGGTGAGCTCCCTGACAACCGAAATGCCTTCCTCCACTTTTTCATAGCCAGACCCTCAGCCCCCTGGGCCAGCCTCTCCCAGGCGCAAGGTCTAGGGCGGCCCAAGGTGCAGCTAAGTCTCCAGAGGACCTTGGCTGAGTTTCCTGGTGTGAGAGGCTCAGCCCTGCCTGGAGATTTGGGTGGGAACCCCAGGGCTGGCCCAGGGCAGAGAGCTGCTCTTACCCTGGCCTCCCACCCCCATCTCACCACAGAGGACGAGTTGCTGGTATCATCAGGGGCGTCGCAGTCAGGGCTGGAGCTGGTGCCAGAGTCAGAGCTCTCGTTGAAGCTGCCACACAGGGAGGAGGGCAGGTAGGGCACTGCCTCGGGTTCCTGGCTCCTGGGAGCGGCTGTGAGGCCCTCTGCAGGGAGCCCTGCTGATGGGCCCCTGGGAGAGGAGACAGACTCATGACTTTTTCCCTCAAAGTAAGGGGAATTAAGGAGTAACAGCCAACCACCACCCAGGTACACACACACCTCACATTACAGTGGAGGAGGGGACTAACACTGAGGACTCTCTGTGCTCTGCTCTTTACATGGGCTGCCTCATTTAGCTACAACAGCCTCCCTTTGAAATGAATGTAATGATTCCCATTTTACAGATGAAGAAACTGAGGCTCAGAGAGGTCAAGGGACCGGCCAAGGTCACAGAGGCAGGAAAAGGCAGAGATGCATTATGAACCAGGGCTATGGCCCCAGCCCTGACCATGTCACTGAAGCAGGAGAGAGGATCCCAGGTTCAGTAAGACTAAGAAGACAGAATCATGCTAGACTAATGGGGCGCTCTGAGAGGTAGCAGGATTCCAGGGACAGTGACAGGGCCACAAGTCTGGATGCTGAGGGACGGACTTGTACAGAAAATCCTGCTTTAAAGAAGGCAGCCAGTTAGAGCTGGCAGTATCCCCAAAGGGTGACCCACAGATTGGCCTACAGGATAGAAATGGGTGATGACTTTTAAAAGAGGCCTGTGGTCAAATAAGTTTAAGACACATTACATCCTTCTCCTACCTCCCCCACCCAAAAGTACAAATTCATGCTAGCAAACTAAAGGCTCTGACAAGTCCTGCAAGCAAGCTATTCGAATTTGTTTATCGCAGACTTTCTGAAACATATTTGATGGCAGAGTTGTTTTGTTTGTTTTTTAAATAATGACTACCTTTAAGGAACATATGTTCCCAAAGCAATGCTGATTTGATTCAATCCCTCTTCTTTTTTAAACAGGGGAACTGAGGTATAAAAAGAAGGAATAACTTGCCCAAGGTCCCAGAGCCCATCAGGGAGGGAGCCGAAGCTGGAATCTAGGTTTCTAGATCCTTAGCCATGCCTCCACAAGGCACTATGGTCCCCAAAAGGGACTTCAGTCCAACTCAGGCCCCGGGGTGGAGGAGCAGTGCGTGGTCAGGGAGGTGGGTGGAGACTGCCCCTGGGTGCTGACACTTTAATGTTTTAAAGCTGTGCAAAGAGAACCAGGAAATGAGTGGGCTGTGGGCCATGTCAATTGCCGGGTGGATGCAGAGCTGATCCATCCTCTGAGATAGGGCCCATGGAACCTGCCCTGCTGCTTGTGCCCAAGCTGAGTGGACTGACTGTGTGACCCATGCCAGCAGCCATCACAGACGGAGGCTGCCATCGTGAAGGGGGGTGTGGGGAAGGGTGGGTGATGGCATCCTACCCCAGGAGCCCCTCCTCAGATCCCAGGGTTCTACCCACCTCTCGGGCCCTGGCCCAAGGCCTGGACCCACCACGGACTGGCAGCTGGAGGTCGAGGCACCAAACAGGTCGTCAATGGTAGGCGGGCGGCGGGGTAGGTCACAGTAGGGTGCCTCAGCACTTGGAGGGCTCCTGGGCTCCTGAGACAGAGTTGGAGAGGTGGCAGCTTATGGCCCACGTGGGGGCTCCCCTCCCCCTGCGCAGCCCCTCCCCCCACCAGGCGACGTGAAGAGTCTCCAGACACCTCCAGGGATCTCATACTTCTCAAGGAGAGCTGTCCATCAGACTGGGAGCGCCCCTTGGGACCCAAGCTGGGGTCTGGCAGAGATGCAGGGTATGTGCACGCGTACATGGGTATAGGTATGTGTGCGTATAAAGGCCTGTGTGTGTGCAAGTGTGTGCATGTGCATGCATGTGTATGCACGACTTGTGGGAACACTGGTGTGTCGGTTTGCAAAAGTGCGTGTATGTTTATTTGTGTCTTTATAAACATACACTTCAGTGAACCCACCTGACTTGTGTACACATGCAAGCACGTGTATGTTGGCACAAATACATGAGTGCAGACCTGAGGATGTGAAGTGCACAAAAGGGAAAAGGGTCTTGGTAGCCAGGAGATGAGGGGGAGGGGGAGGGGGAGGGTTAAGCTGATCTGGAGATGGAAAATGCCCGAGGGAGGAAGAGGTAGTCTGAGGGAGAAGATGGGAAAGAAGACCTTGGAGGCAGGCAGAGATCTGCCCTACTGAAGATGATGGGGCTTCTAGGGCTAGAGGGTCAAGGCCCCAGAGGGGGGGTGGGGGGCCCTGAGCCGACTGCCGGCCTCTCTCTCCCTCCTGCCCTGAGCAGGGCCACACCTGCGAAGGCTGGTGCTGGGCTCACCCGGGGGGAACGGCTGCTCCCCTCTGGG